TGGTCCTAAACGGTAAGAAAATAAAAAAAACGGTCTGGTCACTAAGGGGTTAAATAAAGAAAATACATTTCAAAAGGATGCCAAAAGTTAACACGAAAAAAGCATATAAATTAGTATGGATAATATGACAGTAAATGTAAATGGAGAAATGAACAATTTATAATAATAAAAAAAAAGGCTTATTGTATTACTGAATTGTGTACAGAAGCCCAGGGTTTGAAAATATGGAAATATCAATGAATAGAACAAGAGGAATGAATGCCTTTTTAGTACATCACCAGGAAGCAGTACATTTACAGCTTTCTTTTGAAAGAGCGTTTGCCAATAAATGAAATCTTAAACAAAGGGTAAATCCAAACATCAACTATTTCAGTAATGCTTCCGACTCTTGTCTAGAACTCTGTTTTGAACTTTGAAAGGTATAGATCTTTCTTTATTCTATTGCAGTGCCCTTGCCAGATTATCAATATATTAAAGAGTTTGTTTTTTTAGCGCTTGGTTTGCTGACCATCTCAGAGGCATAAAAGCAGTCAAACTTATTCAGAGAGAGTTGTAATAGGTGAATGCCAGCAATTTAAAAAGTGCTGCTGAGGGCATGAGGAAGAATGGAAGGCACAGTGAAATGGTGCTGTGTTCAATGAAAATATAAGAGCCTCACTGAATAGGGAGTTCTTGAGATGTTAGTTGAATGAAAAAGGATTGCAAATCCATATAAACTAAAGAAAGGCATACTCAGTAAACCATAAAAGAGCAGTTTCCTAATGTTATATTTAGAGTCTACAGAAACAAATTAACTTCAATTCTCATCATGGGCAGGTAGGATGTAATGTATTTTATTGTGTAATGAATTGCATGTTTATCAGGCAGAGAAAGGGCTGTGGTGCAAATAAATCAAATCACTACTCATTGTAAACCATCTAAAATATCAATTACCTTTCGAAATACTGTGAAGAGTAGAAAGCAATATGTCTGGCTGCTTTGCATGTATGTCATGGGTATATTAAGAAGGAACAGGGATATGCTCTTTTACATTCAGAGATACTCTAGTCCACCAATGTGAAATCATTTGTCAGTTTCCAAAGAGCTGTAATATATTTGGTTTGCTATGAGAGATTCTTAACTTCCATACCTACCAACTCGGCCGTCCCACTTCTCGGGGTAAAGGGGGCAGCCCTGTGACATGACACCATAATTTGCTCCATCTAAAGGCAGCAGATCTACCTGGAAAAGGGGTGGGTCAGCCTAAATAACTGGCAGGTCAGTCTGGTGTAAATGCACGCCAGGTCCCTTGCCAATCATCTATGGCCAACCCAATGAGGTCAGACCCTGCAGGGAGCACTGTTTGATCATTTTTTACTGGGTCCTAGTGCCCTGAACATAGTACAAACACATCTAATGATGCGCTCACACTATACATTTAAGCTATTATAAAACTAATTTTGTATGGCGGGACAGGACATGAAAATCATTACTGTCTGGACAAAATTAGTTTGGTTGGGAGGCCTGTGACTATATTGTGGTTTCTTAATTTTCTATTATCTTTAGAATTTATTTTCATTTTAATCATATCAAAAAGCAACTGCATCAATAAATATATGGTTACAAGATTGGAAAATAAACACAGAGCTTCAACGATAGGCTTGATTCCATAACCAGTGCTAAAGCTCCATTACAATTACAGTACACTCTAGTGGTTATGGTGGCATGAGCAGTTTGCTGCCCTCCCAGGGTAAGTAGTGAAGCAGTTTTTGAACAGTTTGACAACTTACCTAGGGTAAGTTATGAAACTGTTTGCAAAAGACTTGGTTACTTATGTGAAGGCATGCCAGGGTATTTGTAGCACCATAACTACTATTATTATCGTTATTTTAATGTGTTTCCCTACCCCTGGAATAGACCGGCTGACCCAGCTAAACTTATTGAACTATTCTGGGCAGTAGCCTCATGGGCGGCCTGGCAGAAATGTGACCTCCAACTAACTTTTGAACCCCTGAACCGATTTTCAAGTATGTTGTTCCCTCAGATCAGGGCTATCAGGACATGTATGTTTTATGGGGTCTTCTATGTTTTTGGGGTGTTTTCAGAAATGTGTAAAAACTATTTTTTGTTTGGAGATAATTGAGTTGATACAGTAATTAACTCAATTATCTCCTAAACAGAAGGGAGGGATTGTGTACACTGTATGGGAGTGTCTGAATGTAAAACCCTGTTTCTATTGGCATGTTAATCTTGTGTCCCTGTGCCCAACTAGGTCCATCTGGGCTTCACCTTTGTTGTAAAACTTGTATAAAAGGCCAGAGTGCCCCATTAAACATGGAGTTCCTGTTTTACCCTCAACATAGAATCTCATCTCATGTGTGGGGGAAAGCTGGAAGCTGGATCCTGGTTTAGGGTCCAGGGTAGGAGGTGGAAGGCAAGTTTCAAGCCAAGCTGCAACGCTGGACGTGGGGACTGCGGTGATGATGGTGTCTGGTGGAGTGCTTGGAGTCCTCGGGGAGCATCCGTCGGCGGAGGTACACACGTCCTCATGAAGGAAGCTCCGTTACAGTCTCCACTGTGGGTTTTTCTCCTTCAGTCTGACCTTGTAATCAAGCAATTGGAGGACCACTAATGCAGTGGCATATATGATCTTGTTTATCTCTATGATGGTTTTGGCTAGGATTGTGGACAGTGCCTCATCAACCACTGCTAGCATACTGTCTGATGGCAGTTTTCCAGTGCTCTTTGGTAATCTTGTCCAGTGGTCAACAACTGCTAGTTTTTTATGATCATCTTTCTTATATCTACTGTTGGGGCAGAGAATCAGGTTAGCAAACCTCTGTATGTATAGGTATAGTTATTGGAATGTCATCCTCCTCATGGCTCACCAATGATGTTTTGTGTAGTCCATCTAATTCTAGTTGTGACACTAGCTTCTTCTTAACAATCTTCAAACACTATGTAACTAGCTGTTTTGGTGTTAATGTAGATGAAGGTATCGTATTCATCCACAGTTCCCACATATGGTTTGTGTCTGCTGTTGTAGTAGCAGTCAAGCAGTTCTAGATTTTCCCTTCATGTCCAGTAATGGTTGGTTCCAGTAGCCCAATTGTGATCAGATTGCCCTAGTTCCCATATTCAAAACAAAGCATTTCAGAAAATATCCAAAGTCCTTATTGGTAGAACAGTACACCAAGTACAAATCATGTTTCTGAAAAGGTATACTGTACTCTTCATGATTTAATAGCTGCTAATTTTAAAATTACCAAGGCAAAGCCAACACTATGTTTATGTACTAATAAAACTGCATAGTCTAAGCAGATGCTTAAGTACTTTCTGTCAAATAAATCAAACTACAACCTGCTCAGCAGTTTTATACGATTTCACGAAGGAGAAGAAATTTACTATGGAAGTAAAAATGCATTTAGTTTAAAGAAAATCATTCTCCTGATGCAGCAACTTACTCTCTAGTTTATATACGTGTGCGCTTCTCAAATGATTAACATGTACCAAAAAGCACTTTCCCCAAAAAAGGCTCAAAGTATTATGCAAAAATAAATAATTGTGATTTGGCACATAACAGCTGATTAATTATATTTAACATTTATCATTTTAAAAACAAAGTGATGACTTGATATATTCAAATATCCTGTAAGCCTGACAAGCATCATAGATCAAAAGTAAAAACCAATATGCAGGGTAATTGGAAAGCGAAAGGTAATTTTAACCTTTGCATCTCAAAATGTCAACAAAATATCTATTGAGTTTGCTATACTAATAGGATACTTGCATACAGCAATGTGTTCAATTTTTAAAGAAAATTAAGAAGTTTGTTTTGAAGTTGCCTTCCTCTTATGTATGTTCCCACACAATTGACTGAATAAATCAACAGTCTCTTATGCCAGAATAAAAAAGGACAGATGAATAGAAGTGTTTTTCTTAAAAGATGCAACTTTGTTTTTACAATTTTACATTACCATTTAAAATAAAAGATTGATTTATGGAAGGGAGAAAATAGTGTGTGATTATAATCAGGGCTACATATAATGCACAATGTTATTACAGAATTGTATAAAAGGAAATTCTAACTGCGTAGCGTATTTGCTGAACTATTATTGTTTTGTCATTTTAGATATTTTCTTAAATAGCATGGCTTCACCAATATATCATTGTAGCTTAAATCCATGTAAACATATTATAAATATATATTATATATATATTTTTTAATCTTATGTGTGAAACTTACTACCAACAATCCATATTAATTAAGACGGGCATTTTAATTGAGAGAAGGTGTGGCCAGGGGCGGGAAAGTTCCAGGAAGTTTTTGGTGACTTATGAATTAAAATGTAATATAGAACAAAAACAGACTGATTTCTAAACACATTTCATGTCGTTTAAAGACACATTACTGTATTATTGCTGTGGCTCTCTGATATATATTCAGGCACACCAACAAAATGGAACTCATACTAATGGGGAACATTTGGAAAAAAAAGAGGGACAGAGGAAATTGAACCCAAATTACAGGATTCCCTTCCTAAATATTGATGCTGAGGGTTGTTAGGACCAGACAATTAGATTTTTTTTCTTCTATGTTCAGGGGTAAGCCAATTTAATACCTGTCACTCTTGTGAGTACTATATGAATTACACCGATGTGCATGGCTTCTACTAGTGTAACACACACTTTTGTAGAAATACACACATAGGCCAAGTTGCAACAAACAAAATAGTGTAATGTAATGTTTCCTAATATTAAATTAATTAGATTGATTATTTTACTCTAACAAACTATATTCATTATACTGAAATGCTAAAATTTTACTATAGGTTATAAATAAACATACCGACATCAGCATCATGAAGTACAGTATTGATATGCCCCATTGGATGTGCTCCAGTTCTGAAAATAGCTACTCAAATTGTGTTAGGATTCTATGCACTCTGCCTGCAGAATGAAAAGATTTAACTTATGCATTGGTGTGGCATATAAGAGAACAGTGCAATATAAAAGTCAAATCATATAACCATATTGTATCCTCCGTGGGTGCAGGTCTTAGTCTCTGGGATCCCAGACTGGGGATTCATCCGACTCCGGCCTTTGGCAGGTACCGCTTGTGGTCGGGGCGTGCATTGGTATCCCCCTGCACCTTTTTGTTGGTCTGCAGCTGGTACTGGGCCTAGTGCATGCAAGTTTTGTTCAGTTGAGGTGCCTCCAATCCCGGCTGTGGTGAGGAGCTGTTGTTGGCTGGGTACATGGTGAGTGTTTGGGAACGTTGACCCCTCAGGCGTGTCCCATACGGACTTTGGTGTCTCTTTCGGGTTTAGGGAGGTCTTTGGCCCTGTCACATGTGGCTTTGGCGCCATTGCTTGGGCTCTGCATGTCTGCTTTAAGTGTCTGTTGCCCCTTTGTTGTTTCTTCAGCCGAGCCGAAGTGCCAGTTAACCGCACCTGTGGTATTGCAGCCTTGGTTGAGCGCCTCGGCCGCACACAGAGGGGTGCATGTTGATGCGTTGTCAGAGGTAGGTTCTTCTCTCCTAATTGCTCCCCAAATTTCTGGCAAACGGTGTAAAATTTAGCCCGGAAGGTCGCTGCCATTCGTCGGCAGTCTGTTGCCTTGAGTCAGTCTCTCTGCCGTCGGCCATTTTGGATTGGCCTCGTGGGAGCTACGCTTTAGAGTGCTCCCAAGGTGAGTGCTCCCCATAGGTGGGTGGACCAGGATGACCCCCGCCGGTCCATGGGGGGGATCAAGGGCCCTTAGTCTCCGAAACAGCTAGTCGTGGCGGTGGGAGAGCGGCCGTCCCTCCCGCGCTCGCCATATAAGTAGGACCCGGACACCTGACCGGTAAGAATAGCTTGTAGTGCTGCTCATGTGGTGTCATTCTGCACTGCTTAGTGTCCCCTTTCACTTGCTGTCCTTTATTGCCCGATTAGTCGCTTTTGGGTCATGAAATTAAAGTTTTAGAGTAGCTTGGTGCAGGAGCTCTTGAGGTTCACGTCCTCTCAGCTCTGCGGTTAGGCACAGAACCCCCCCCCCCTCCCGGTTGTACATTTTACTGGACTTTATACCCTTTTTACTGAACATTTGCTATGGATTTTGTTATTTTACCTCTCAATAAAGTCATTATTGAAGGTTATCGGCTGTCAATTTCTCCATTCAGAGAGGTTATCTACAGAGGTACTGATTGTGCTGTATAAATATTTAGATATTTTAAATTTATTTTACGTATGATGTTCACAGTTGAGTTGATATTTTTTTCTATTTTATACATTTGTACTTACAATACCTAGATATCACTTTGATGTTTGTATTCACTTGTATTCACTTTGTTTTACACATATATTTATTTTGATTTGCATTTTCTGCTTTGTAGTCACCAACTTTTTTTTAATTGCCACACACCTTTAAAAGTTTTATTCACATTTTATTTGAACACTATTGTGGTTTTACCAACAAATACATAGATTTTTTTTTACATATTGTAGATCAGTACCATGTCTGCTAATGTATATTTGAAATATTCATATATTTGAAAAATTGATCATAATGGAAAAAAAAAACAGCTTATACTTATTTTTGTATATGCATTTCCATTATTTTAATTTGTAGACTTTCTTTACATATGGCAACCATTCATGGAAAAATGTACATGCACTAAAACTTATAATGTAATAAGAAACAATATACTTCACAGTCTATATCCTCTACCGTATTGCAGGACTCAATGCTTGTTTAGAAGAAGTATGTACATGTTGAGGAAAAATCTGAAGAAATTTAACCTGTCACCTTCAACAAGTACATATAGCTTAATCAGTCACATCACTGTGAACAATCGTTTACCTTCAATCTGTGTTACATGGGCTGCAATATAACACTGTCAGTCTATATACAAGTTAACATCACTCAGTCACTTGTAGTTCAGTTAAACAGAATGAATGATCCACAACTGAAATGCAGAACTTTGTTTGTGAATGTGTAGTTTGTTGTTATATAGTGGTTGCTTACCCTCTTTTTTATATCATTATTATGATTATTATTCTTACTACTGCTACTTTATTGATGTTAAAGTAACATGCATTACATGATAAATGTTTTTTTTAAACCAGAAAGAACAACCAATCTGTCATCCCACATCAATGTATAACCGAATACAGTTGGATATACTTTTGCCTTTCAGACAAAATGAATTTTCCAGTTGTTTGGTTAATAGAAAAGGTAAGAACACTTTTTACCACCAAATGAAAAAAAATTCTGCTCCAAATAGGATAAATATATCACCTGTATGTGGTGATGAATAAAGGCCCTAAATATTTCCACTTATAAATGCTTAGATGGGATTGGTGGAATCAACTTTCCCATGACATCCATAGTTAGGATTACCAGATGCAGTATGTTTTCAGGGACACATAAAATGCTATCATATTTATGAAATAACATAAAAGGGGTTGCTATGCAGTACGTTTAAGGCATATTCTGCAGGATTCTTCATTGACTAATTACTTGATCTTATAAACATGCTTCAGAATTCTAAATACCACAGGGCAACCCTTTTCATGTGCTGTAGATAACTATGTATACATGATATGTGACCCTTCCCATAATCAGTTGTACAAGTGCAGCACTGAATGTTACATGTGATATAAATTTACATCATTTGGAAAGTCTGCAAATGCACCAGTTGTCCTGAGATTTTATACATATAATTTGGATTTTTATCAGTAGTTAGGCAATTAAAATACACAAAAAAACCCACACAAGAGTACTCTCAAATACTCTTCTCGAAATAGACCGCCCTAACAAGCGAAATCACTCCTGACGGCAACACACCAAAATTGACACGTCCCGACCACTACAAGCAACGCCAAACAGTACCAAGCACATATTAACAATTAAGTACACAAAGTTGGATGGACTGTGACTGTATAGACCACTCATAAATGCAACTGTTATAAATGCCGTGTACCTGCTTTGCCTCGTTATTTATATGACCGCTTGTTCTCACTTTAATGGCATCAGGCATGTGTCTGTATGCATATTCATGCACAAAAATGAAAATAAAGAATTAAAAAAGAAAAATACAGGAGACATGGACTGAGGTATGTTCAGTGTCAGTGCACATATAGCTGTACATATGATCATCCTTGATTGTTAAGGACCTTTAAATTAATATATAAATACAAATAATATACAATATAAATTAACTGATCTAAGACAAATACCATTTTGTACAGATTGAGTTGATAATTAATCAAAACATATATTTATTACATTTTAGTTTATATTTAACCTTTATATACAAATATATTGAACTTTCTGCCTGCCTTGTTCCTTTTAGCTTAATTTTCAATTTTCTTTGGAAACTCAGTGATCTCTTCATTCTCCAAGCAAGAGGCCAGGTGTTTCCTCATTTGCTGATGGTCATATGTGCATGTGGTGTTCTTTATACTAAGAAACTCAAAGAAATTTTCTATTTTCTAAACACCACAATCATTTCCGTTTTTCTGCTAGTCCACTTCAAGCATATAAACTTGTTTCAATGGGTTCTTAACGTTTTTTTCCATAATATTCACATACTTATTTGCTGGATGAAGGAGAGAGGTATTATGTTCTTAGGCCATCAGTAACTGCAACAATTCTTTTTTTGAAGCAAGTTGTGAAACAGTGGTGACAATCTGTGTTATAATGTATTTGTACAGCCTTCCTGGTCACAGGCTTTATGACGAGTTGTGCCAGAACACAGCTCTGTAAACCATCCATATCAAATTCCTTATAATATTCTTGTGTGAGGTTGGTGCATGGCAGCCATTGCCCATCTTGCTTCTCATCAACACGGTGCAAGTCCATGTTTTGTTTGTGGTCCTTTCAGGTATGGCAGTAGGACCTGCTTCTTGTGGAACAGTTGGTACACCTGCTTGAGTTGGCACGGTTGACTCTTCTGCTTTTTGTGACACAGTTGGTTCACCTACTTCGGCTGGCACATGGGGCACATCTGCTTCTTGTGGCATAGTTAGTTTGCTCTTATGTAGAACTTCATTTTTATAATAAACAGCAATCTGTATTTTTCTTTTTGATTCTCAAAGTTTCCCTTGCTATTTGTCCCTTTTTAGTAGGGAGGGGATATCCTCTTAGATAATTTGTTGTGCCTGATACCATGGCATTCAAAGCACTGACTTCTTGATTGCTTGAAGCACTGGATGATTCCTATATGGTTATATCAGACATAGGTTGTTCTTGTTGAAAAAGGCATATTTTCTTCTGGCTCCTGCTATGCATTTTGTTTGCCTTCATCTGAATAGATAATTTTGTCCTTCCATAAATTTAAAAATGTCTTCACAAAATTTCTCTTTTTCTAATAATTCTGTTGACATTTTAGATCAGTGATTTGGCATTCTTGCAGATCTGGTTTTGAGCAGTAGTTACCATAAAGTAATCGCATTCTTTTTTTTTGTTTGCAATCAGTTTTAAACAAAAAAAAATAATGAATACATGGTTAGAGAATGATCACAAAATATAACTTTGGTATCCCAATCATAGAATGCAATGAGCATTATTAATATGTGAATATGCTATATAATGGATGGATCCATGGCATGTTTTTGGTGTGTCTATGCTTTAACTAGACTAGTGATCAATAAAATAAATGCCATGAATGAGACACTGTTTGGAAGGTCTTTCTCAAGATCAATATGACCTGTGAGTAAAAAGATTTATATAAGAGAAAATAATGTGTAGTCACCAATGAAGTGTAACTCTCCCTCTCAGATCAGTGCAAACCCATAAATGCGCCCGTAAGGTCACGTAATGTTACATAAACAGCGTAATGTGACATGGGATTGTGGTTGCTAGGTAACCTGTATACAAAGTAACTTGTGTGATGTGTATATATATATATGTACTTTTCTTTTTTTCAAAGTAAGGAGAGTGCCAAGCTGTTTTAAATTGTGTGTAGATATATATATATATATATATATACCCTGTATACATTTACAAAAGCTTGTTTTGTGATGTTATATAGTGATGTTAGTTGATGTCCCAAACAGAATGATATGTACAGATGTACCAGACTCATGCAATAAAATTAATTATTATTATTTTTATTATTATTTATAAGGCACCAACAACTTCTGAAGCATTGTAGAATAGGTGTACTACAAAACATGTATTTGACCAAGATGAGTTGGACACACAGGGTGTTGACGGCCCTGCTCCAACAAGCTAATATTATTTATTTTATTATATATTTAGAAAATGTTTTACCAGAAAGGATATATTAAGATTTCTCTCATTTCTCTCATTTTGAATAGGGTGGAATATAATATTACAAAAAAACAAATACAATATATATATATATATATATATATATATATATAACAAAATTATAAATGCAATACTTTTATTTTTGCCCCCGTTTTTTTTTTTTAAGAGCACTCTCTTAAAGGGAGTGCTCCAGATCTCAGCTCGTTACCTGTATAAAAGACTCTTGTCCACAGAAGCAATAAATCAATCAGATTCCAAACTCTCCATCATGGTCAAGTCCAAATAACTGTCCAAGGTTGCCAGGGACAAGATTGTAGACCTACACAATGCTGGAATGGGC